TTCAACATCTTCATTAATGATGTGGACTTTGGAGTCAGAAGCAGACTGGCTAAGTTTGCCAATGACACCAAACTCTGGGGTAAAACATCCACACCTGAGGACAGGAGAGAGATCCAGGCTGAGCTTGACAAGCTCATGAAATGGGTGGACAAGAACCTGATGGTGTTTAACACCAAAAAATACAAGGTTCCCCACCTTGGGAAGAAAAACAAGCAGGCTGCTTAAAGGCTCGGCAGTGCTACGCTGGCTAGCGCTACAGACAAAAGGGACTTGGGGGTCATGATTGACCACACAATGAACATGAGCCATCAATGTGATGCTGCAGCTAGTAAAGCGAGCAAAACGCTGGCTTGCATCCATAGATGCTACTCAAGCAAATCCCAGGACGTCATTCTCACGTTGTACTTGGCCTTGGTGAGGCCGCAGCTGGAGTACTGTGTCCAGTTTTGGGCTCCACAATTCAAAAAGGATGTGGAGAAGCTTGAGAGGGTGCAGAGGAGAGCCACGCACATGATCAGAGGTCAGGAAAACAGACCTTATGAAGAGCCATGGGGCTCTTCAGCCTGGAAAAGCACAGGCTCAGGGGTGATTTGATGGCTGCCTATAAGTTTATAAGGGGTGCTCACCAGGATCTGAGGGAACATTTGTTCACCAGAGCACCCCAACGGATGACAAGGTCGAACAGTCACAAACTCCTCCAGGACCATTTCAGGCTAGACATAAGGAAGAACTTCTTTACTGTCCAAGCCCCCAAGGTCTGGAATAGACTGCCGCCAGAGGTGATTCAAGCATCTACTTTGAACGACTTGAAGAGAAATTTGGATGTTTATCTTGCTGGGATCCTATAAACCCTGCTGACTTCCTGCCCCTGGGGCAGGGGGCTGGACTCGAAGATCTTCCAAGGTCCCTTCCAGCCCTAGTGTCTATGAAAACTATGAAATATCAGTTGATTATGATGAAAATACTTTTTTTCCTAAAAGAATAATTGGACAATGAAGTAATTTGTTGAGGATTTAAATGCTCTGAATATGGATACTTTAGGAATATGTTAGGTATTACAGTGATAGGTTCCGTCAGAACCCTAAGGTAGATACTCTATCAACAAGTTAACAATTATCTTTGTTACAGAAAATGAAGGAAATGTTATACGAGTTTATGAAAGGGGTATTGCAAGTGTTCTGTTTAATATAGGATCCTACTCGGGGGGTCAAGCTAAGTTTGACATCCCTGACTTAGAAGAAGCCATAATGTGGACCACAGCCTGCTTCTTCACATGTTCCACATTGATGGGGTACAAGGTGGTGTGTGCTTCATGCTCTTCAGTTCTTAACAGCCATTGGCTGGAGGCACAGCGTCTTTTTAATTACAGCCTATTTGAAGTTGCAGCCTTATTAAGAGCATTCATTCACTACTGATTATTGTTCTTTTTAATTATTTCAAAACACCTCTTTTCTTTTACCCCCAAATCTGTTGATTTGCTTTCTTCCATTGTTTGGGGCTTTGCCCCCTCCTCCCAGTCCTCCAAGTATTTTTTTATCTGTACCACATGACACTGCTACCTTCCTCCAGGCAAAGTGAGGCACAGTATTGGACACTGTCCCCAATGCAATATTCAGTGCTAAAGTTTGCTCAGCCCACCCATATTTGACTGCAGCATGGAGTAGCTTCTGAACCCATACTGATATTCCTTTTGGTCAACTTCTGGCAGCAGTCTGATTTTTTTCCTAGCACTGGCCTTGGGTTTGACCATGGATCTGGCCAACACAGAACCAGCTACTAAGGTTGGCTTACTGGAGTCTTCATCCATTTTCAACTCAGTTCTGCTTGGTCTGTGACTCCAACTCATCTCTAGATCTTGGCATAATGGTGATTAGGCTTATATCCAACTTTTCTGTGGTGGCCCTCTGGGCAATGTGGCCCTCAACCATCCACCGTTGGTGGGGACAGAGTGGGCTAGTTGGCTTCCTTTTCTTGGCTGTCCAGCTTTCAGCTTCCTCTAGGCCTCCTCTGAAAGATCAAGAGGACTATCTAGATATGGGTTCAAGGCTGAGTGGTTTCTGAGAGACATGCTGTCTTCCTCCTTGGCAGACAGAGTTTTTGAGTGAAAGTGATTGTGATTGCTACTCTTTGTACTGAACTTAGTGTTGTCAGAGTTCAGTAGCATAACATCTGCCTAGTACCATTTTAAGTGCCTAAAGTATCACTGTGGATTTAACCCAGTCTTTAATTACATGATCACATATTTTTCTTTTTATTTAAAACCAGACCTAATTCAAAGTTACAGTCGTTTGGTGTAGAGAATAGTATGTTTCTGAGTGGACACATACAACAATTGAACCAGTTCCCAAGTGTCATGGATCAGAGGTGTCCAGACATACACTGCCTTCGCATTCCAGGTTGAATGGTCACCTTCTAGGTGTTGAAGTGCTGTGGCTCTGACACCAGAGGGTAGCAGTAAACACCCAATCCAATATGCCGTGCATTGAGCAAATTTGGGGAAGTGCTTGCACCCATGCTTTGATGGTCCCAGTGGGTGGGTAACCTGTGGCTTGGGATGGTTTTGCTTTCTTGCTTTCTTTTCTCTCCTAAACATGAGTCCAATGAAGTTCCATAGTCTGCAGTTGATCAAAGTGTGCTTGCCTGACTAGGCGTGGCAAGGCAGGGGAGGAGTGTGCTTGGACTCACAGTTTTGGGTTTCCAGGTGCTGGGTTGGCATGATGAGAGGCTACGGTGGAGTAGGGAGCGAGGACACAGATGGTTATTAGAAAGATAGCTTCTATTGAACAAGTGCAAGGGAGCTCATTGATAGAGTGCCAACAAAAGGAAAAAATGGGAGGCAGTAAAGTGGCTGGGTACCAGAGCAGCCATTTGCAGCAGTAGGTGGATAAAGAGCAATGTAGCGTTGAATGCCTGGAGAACTGACCAGACCTGTATCATGGGACACTTGTTGGTGTCCACATGGAACATGTAAGACTGAACTAGTACACTGTGAACTGATTCAGGAATAACTAATTTTCAGATACACTTTTAAACTGTTCCAGAAGGTTTTAAACCATGTATGTCTGTTCACTTCATGTTTAAACCACATTTAAAGCAGTGTAAGTGTTACATGTGTTCATGCCCTAAATCTGTCTTGAGTTACATGCATGCCACTCCATGGAAGTCAATATAGTTACGTGGAAGCGAATGAAGATAAAATGTATCTCAATATATTTTATCTGAGGTACATATCTCTGTGCTTCAGATCCTGCTATTACAATGTGGATTTCCCCTTGACTTCTTTTTCTAGCCATTTTAGTAACCAAAGGGATGGTTATTTTTAAGGTTTGGTCCAGACAGGGCTGCATTTTTCATCTAATTAATTGCTGGAGTGCAGCAGTTTTCTTTTTAAATTGTCCCGTGTGCATTCATTCTGGCACAACAGTGACCAGCATATAGTTGGTTTTTGATAGGAGAGATTGTACTCTGATACTTCCTAGGGACTGAGACCATTTCCTGCTTTTGGTCTCTGGCAGTATTTAATTAATTTAGATGAACCACTACATAACAAACAAATAGAACTGATACTTGCAACTGAATGATTTTGATGTTCCTTGTCTTTTGTTTGTAGTGGTCTCTTAGATTAGATATTTTTCCCCATAAACTTTCTCTTCCCTTTACAGATTCCAAGCATGTGTCTATTTTGCATCTGTCTTTCAAGCTGTGTCATGTGGCATCCATTACTTGGCTTCCGTATTCATGGCTGTTACTCCCAAATTTGTATGCAGTATCCCTGGAAATGTGAGTAGTGTTCTGTACTACAACTCCTCTGCTTCAAGTATAGAGGATGTCTGGACACTGTGGACATCAACTGATAATTATATTGTGGCCCAGCTGGAAAATGGAGAAATCTGGGAACTTAATCAGTGCAGCAGGTCCAGACGAGAGGGCAGTTTGGATCTAGCATATGAATATAATGGCAACAAGTCTGTGTTTTCCTGTTCTCATGGATATATATATGATCACACTAAATGGAAGAGCACCATTGTTACAGAGTGGGATTTGGTCTGTGAACGAGAATGGCTTGCAAAATTAACTCAACCCACCTTCATGCTTGGAGTCCTAATTGGAGCAGTGATTTTTGGTGATATTGCTGACAGGTACAGTCCTATATTCTTTATATTGTACCTCCTGAGTGCAAAAGCTCTGTATCTACCTGCTTTTATCCTATTTTAAATTGACATTATTCACTTAATATAGTGTTATTAACAAATGTATTCTTCAACAATTCCTTTATTTATTTTATCCAGTACAGAGGATTTTTGTTTTTCCATAACAAATATCAATTTAAAGCATTGTTGTTGTTATTGTTGTTGTTATAAATTAACAGGAATATTATTTGGAACATATTTTCTGCTATATGTCACATATCCATTTAGGCCCTGATCTCCAAGATACTCCATATGGATGAAGCCTTTTCGCAGGATGAGTCATATTGGGTTTCCCCCTCATTTTTCTTGACAGAGAAATGAAAATTTTCAGATATGATTAATAATTAAAGGGTTACTCTCAGATTAAACAACATTTTTTAAAGACAAATTTCCTAACTTCTGTAATTAATACACTTTAATGGGCCCAATTGAAAGACTTTGGGTATGTATTAAGCCCTGTATTTTGTGGATTTAGAGTTTAAAATTGGTACTGAATCTATTTTGAATTAGTCATTATAATATTAGTTAATATTCCCATGCAGATTATGAGGTTATAGTCACACAATTCTCAGCTGTATTAGCTCAAGCCATACACATCTTTTTAAGATATAATCCAAAAATTTTTCAGCAGAACATTAGTACTGTCTGTCACATTTTGGCTGGTGGGAATTAAATTGGTGGTTTTAGTCCAGTTTTCAATGAACACATGTTCCCAATAAAAGGACCACCACAGCTGGCATTAATGAGAATCCCTGCTGGGTGCAGAGATTCTTCTAGAAATGTAATGGACATGAGGACAGTTGTCTCTTCAGTTTGTATAGCTCAGGGTTGAAACACATTTGCAGGTCCTCATAGGGAAATTTGCAGCCCAGCTGTCTGGCTTATACAAATTATGTACTGGATCGTGTTCTAATTTTCTTTTCATGTGGTACTGAATTCATGTCCAAAACCAACCAAAAATAAAGTAGAACAAACCAACCTAGTCCTAACCAAACCAAACCCATATCCTAACACAAAACACAACACCAGACCACAATGCCTAAATCTCCAAAAACTGTTCATGATAAACCTGGAAATAATGTATTTTCATGACTATATAGTCAGAGAATAAAGTGAAGTAGGTGACATCTCTTGTCTAGTCAGTACTTGCAACATATTCTGTATTATACACATTGTGGGTGTGTCTACACAAGACACTAACAGCGCAGTAGCCTGCTAATACTGCACAGTAGTGCATCACAGCACAAACGGTGCTAATATGCTATTCTGCAGTATTATTAGGCTACTGTATAGTAGCATCACTAAAAGGCATCACTGGCACTACTGTGCAGTAACTCCTGTTTCTATGCATTTATTAGTACTTGATTATACAAATACTAAATTAAATGCTCAGTAACCACTGCACATTAATGGATGTGTAGAAGCGCCCACTCTGTATTGCTGGACAAAACAGAGTAGAATGAATCCAGCAGTAAATCGTTATCTTTTTGTTACATATTTTCTTTGATTTCTTTTTAGTCAGCCTTCTTGGTATTAGCCTGTTCTCACTTGTTTATGCACAACATAAACATTGTTTATGCCGAACATGAGTGGGCAATGTGGGGAGGCGGCTAGGAAGGCCAACTGCACCTTGTCGTGCATCCACAGATGCATCTCAAGCAGGTCCAAGGAGGTGATCCTCCCCCTCTATGCGGCACTGGTCAGGCCGCAGCTGGAGTACTGCGTCCAGTTCTGGGCGCCGCACTTTAAGAGGGATGTGGACAGCATGGAGAGGGTCCAGAGGAGGGCCACTCGTATGATCAAGGGACAGCAGGGTAGGTCCTATGAGGAAAGGTTGCGGGACCTGAACCTGTTCAGCCTTCAAAAGAGAAGGCTGAGGGGGGATCTTGTGGCCTGTTATAAACTGGTTAGGGGGGATCAGCAGGCGCTGGGGGAGTCCCTGTTCCCCCGAGCGCCGCAAGGAGTGACCAGGAACAATGGTCACAAGCTGGCGGAGGGAAGGTTTAAGTTGGACATCAGGAGGCGCTACTTCACGGTCAGGGCGGCTAGGGTCTGGAACCAGCTTCCAAGTGAGGTGGTGCAGGCTCCCACCCTGGGGGTTTTTAAGAGGAGGTTGGATGACCACCTTACTGGGGTCATTTGACCCCAGTGCTCTTCCTGCCATGGCAGGGGGTTGGACTAGATGATCTGCTCAGGTCCCTTCCAACCCTAGAAACTATGAAACATCTGGTTGGTCTACATTTTTTTTTTGCTGGGATAACATGGAGATAAGACAAACAAACTTCAGACCTCATTGTACAAAAGACATTCTTTTAAAAAGGTGGAATAAAATACTATCTAAGATCTGTCTTACTAGATCTTTAACAAGAAGCTGAAAGTTTCAATTATTTTGTTTCCCAACTAGTATTCTGTCTATATACATGTGAGTGTGTGATGAATGAACTGTCTGGTAAGAAATATGATATAGAAAATGTTCAGTAGCTCTTGTTATGCATGTGAGCAGGAAAGATGATAAAGGAAGCCAGAATGCAAGTCAGCTGAGAAAAAAGCTGAGGGAGGTATGTTAGTCTGGAGAAAGGAGTCTGAGCAGTGACTTGATAACAGTTTTCAAACATTTGAAAGATTGCCACAAAGAAGAAGAGAAATTGTTCTCCTGTGTCACAGAGAACAAGAAGGATAACAGTTTAAACTAAATCACAGCAGAGCACATTTAGATCAAACATCAAGAAAAACTTCCTTGGACTAGGACAATGAAAAAATCTTCATTGTGGTTTTCAAGAAGAGGTTAGAAAATCACTTTATGTCTGGGATGGATTAGGAATAGTGAATCCTGCACTTGTAGGTGGGGGTGTAGTAGATGAACCTTGAAGTCCTTGCAGCTGTTTCAGTCTATGATTTTTTGAGTTGGCAAGAAATCACCCAAGTTATTTCATCCCAAACCAAAATATGACTGGGTATAAAATGTCCAAAAGAGTGGGAGTCAAACTAACTATCCTTATAAGGAGGACAAAGTAATTTAGCAATTTACCTATGCAGAAGTTAAACTGAATGCTCAGTAAGAGTGTGCACAATACTGTCTTCTATGGAGAACTATTTTCCAGTCAGAAACTTCTAAACATGTCTTCTTTCTATTAATGTTACTGTTAATTTGATCAAAGGGAGCTATGGAAAGATAAAAGATTTCCATTATCCAGCAAATAATAAATCAAAGTTGAGAATCAACCCTGGGACTACTGTGGCAGTTCAGAGTACTATGTATAACACTGGTAATACTTTCTAGGTTTACTTTAATTCTTATTCATGATGAAATATCCCAAGTTGCAGTTACATATTAATACAATGCTTACAAAACATTATTACTACTGTTGTGATGGTTGTTATTGTTAACAATAATATTTACTGTGTTTTTATTGTGACTTGCAGAATGGGAAGACGGCATATAATGTGGTTCACAAGCATTGGCCAGTTTTTATTTGGCATTGTGGTAGCATTCACATTTGACTACTACAGCTTTGTGGTTGCACGTTTTCTCCTTGCAATGGTAAGAATAGATGCTTTCCATAATTCATATAACAGAAAATGTCCAGTGCTGTGGTATTGGAAGCCCTCTGTATTTTCTCTTTATTCCTCCCTTTCTCCATTTTTCATCTGTTGCCCAGTACTCCCTCCAGTAGAGCAAAGAGGGTTTGAAGACCATTTCCTCTTGACCCAGACAACCTCTTCTTTTTTAGGGTTACCCAGAAAGGGTTCATATGAAGCAGTATTTGGTGTTGCCTCCCTCAGGGTCATTGTTCCCAGCTCCTGCCAGACTGGCAGTGAGGGAAGTAGTACATTCTGGTCTATGCACTGCTGCTTATGGTGTATTACCAATATTGACTTTTATTTTTCTCAAAATAAGGACTCCCATAATAATAATGACTTTATCTCTACTGTGTTCAAGCCCTTTTTACTTTATGTATATCCTTTTTAGTCTTTTAGACTACATTTGAAATGCCAGATGAATAGGCTAATGATCCTAAATGCTTATACTGTACTTACACGTGTATTTCATTATATTTAGTGGGGGTAGGCCTTATTAACCAAAGCCAAATGATGATCCTGAATTCAGAGTTATAATACTTATGGCTTTTCATTTCATGCATTGACTGGTTAGACAATTGTTGCAAGAAAAATAAGTAATTGAAAAATGTTTAGAAAAGAGAAAAAGAAAGAAAAAAACTTCCTAAGTACAAAGTATCGGAAATCATTCACTTTACTTGCCACTAGTAGACTGAAAGACAGTAGGTAGCCATTGACTGAAATTCACTTACTTCCCTTAGTCTGCCAAAGCTCAGATTTATTAATAGTTGGGCATAACGTGTAGGATTTGAGGCAGTACCCACTGAATCAATGAAAATCCTCCACTGACTTCTCTGGGAACTGAATCAGGCTTTTGGGAGCATGGGTAGTTTAGAAATGTAAGGGCCAGAAGGTTAAAGCATTGATTAAACAAACACAAACATACCCAGAGCCCAAAATATCTATCTAGCTGCAAGGGCTGACTTGTAGGAAAGGGCCTAAGGTTCAAATCTCATCCTATTGAAATCAATAGGAGCTTCCTTGTCAATTAGTGAGTGGATCAGACCCCAAAGCATAGTGGGCTAAAAATCCAGGCTGTGGGCCAAATCTGGCCTGCCAAGTGATTCTATGTGGCCTGCAACAGTTTGGGGACATACAGGTTGCAGATCACGGCTCCGCCCTGGCCCCAGCCCCACACTGTCACTGCCCTGTGATCCTGGTCCTGGCTCTGGTCTTGCTGGCCTGTCTTGCTCCCGGACACCGCTTTCCACTCGCCTGTCGCCTTATCCCATCCACTTAGCCAAATACACCCTGCGCTCAGGGGTCCCAGGTCAATCTCCATGGAGACCCTGCCTGCCCACTCCATCTGATGCCTCCAGCGCTGGGTGCAGAACAGCTCCTTGCTACCCGCCCCCC